TAGTTTCTTTTGCTTACTATTTCTTATTCCTTTTATGTGCTTTGTATAATGGTGCTTATCTCGATACTTGTATCTCTCTGTGTTGATTTCATTCTTGCAACTATACCAGGCAAGAAATAGAGAAGACCATGTTAAGCCCTTAGGCTCAAACACATCCTATCCCATAATTCATTATTAGATCATTTATTATTATGTGTGAACTATTCCACTGCCCCTTTCAGAAAAAATGTAAAGTATTAAATATCTTATTACTCACCTATATAGTTTCTGTAGTTCCACTGCTAGAATTTCAGTGTCAACGTATTGGCCACATTTATTACTGCTTAGATACTGTAATAAATATAGTTGAATTAGTGTATTTAAAGATACATACAATTCCTTTGCAATCTGCAAAAATTATATTAGCATAGAATCATATGTGAACAATTTAAAAAAGAGGGAGCTATTTCCTTATCACTGCAGTTATCTTTTTTATAATAACTTTATTAATTTTCTTAAACAAGAAAGATAAAAACTAACAAGAACTAATATTTAAAATAAAGGAAGAAAATAAAATAAAGACAGAACAAAGCCAAAAATGCAGAAAGTAAAGAAAGAAAAAAGAAGTATAATGAAATGACTTCCAATTTTCTTTTACAACAGCTATGGTTATAGATTTAAACTGAACTCTTACTCTAAGGTTACAACATAACTTTTATTTTTCTATCATCTAATATTTTTTATAATCATCAAACCTATATATCATAATTTCACTTTTTTCTGTTTCGCACAAAAAGTCCAAAAGGGGTTGCCAATCAGTAATGAACGTAATCAGTGTCTTTTCTCTGATCAAAGCTGTCAATTCAGTCATCTCAGCAAGCTCCACCCTCTTCATGATCTACTCTTCCATTGTGTCAATGTCAAATCCTTCCACCCTTGTGTATATAAAAGTCTTGCTGCTGTTATCGTGTATAAAAACAAAGTTCCATGAGTTTTTTCCAACTCTTTGTCAATCAGTCCTAAAATAAACATCTCTGGATGCAATTGTATATTAATCTTTAAAATCTTCTGAATTAATGTAAGTATTTGGATCCAAATTTTTTTAGCTTTTTTACATGTCCATCAAGTATGATAAAAAGTCCCCTCTTGTTCACATTTCCAATATATATTCAAAGGACCTTTATATGTTTTAGACAATTTTTCTGGTGACAAATACCAACAATACATCCATCACCTTACAAAAATTCTCCTTAAGATTATAACATAATGTAAATTTCAGTACTTTCATCCACATATTCTCCCATTGTGCCATTTGTATGTCATAACCAAAATTTTTGGCCCATTTTATCATACATTCTTTCACGTGTTCTTTTTCTGTGTCAAATCTCAATAAAAGTTAATATATTTTAGCAATACCATGTTTATCATTTGTACATAATTCTGTTTCAAATTAAATCTTCAAATATTCAAAATCAAAAGTCCTTTTATCTACTTTAAATCTTTCTAATAATTGTACACAGAAAAACCATTGACATGTATATCCTTCTAATGTCAAGTCATTTCTTGATTTCATTTTGAATTCTCCCTGGGAAAATTCTAATATATCACCATAAGTTAACCATTTATATCATTTGTACATAATTCTGTTTCAAATTAAATCTTCAAATATTCAAAATCAAAAGTCCTTTTATCTACTTTAAATCTTTCTAATAATTGTACACAGAAAAACCATTGACATGTATATCCTTCTAATGTCAAGTCATTTCTTGATTTCATTTTGAATTCTCCCTGGGAAAATTCTAATATATCACCATAAGTTAACCAT